GGTCGGCCAGAAGGCCGGCTGTGGGCCAGGAGGCCCTGGCGGCTCCAGGACCCCAGGGCGAGCTGCTGTCAGGACCCAGGTCTACCTCCCTATGTCCCCCAAAAAGGGAGTCATTGCTGGTAAAGCCACTAGAAGGGCAGAAGAACCCAGCATTTGAGGTACCTGAACCCCTCAAAATGGAGGGACCAGGGGATTGGTGGGTAGAGGCAGGACCCAGCAAAGGGGTCCTCTCCTCTGTTTGAACTGCGTTGGGAGTAGGCAGGACTGCCTCAGCCAACTGCCGGCAACAGCTGGCACAGACCCGAACCCAGGCCATGAAGTGGCCACCCCGTCCACAGTCGCAGACACACAGGAGTGCTCTGCCTGCCTGCTGGGTCAAACGGCTGGCTGGGCCCTCTGGCTCTGGCTGCCCCTTGCAGGTGACCTGGCAGCTCTCCCCTTCCTGAGAGTCACTGGTTCTGGTGGGAGGGGGATGGGTCCCCAGCCTCCTGGAGGACAACTGCACCCGGCCCCTGGGCCTCAGGCTCCATCACCAAGCTGGCAGACTTTCTTCCCATCAGCCCCTGCGCTGTCAGGAGAAAACCAAGTCTCTCCCCCAGGGAAAACAGAGCTGGCAGCGAGAGGCCAAAGGCTGTTGGGCTGTGGAGAAGGAGCATGCCCAGCCTCGCCAGGGCGCCTTCCCAGGGCCTCTGACTTGTTGCCAGGGCCCAGTCAGGGCTGCTCCGGCATCCATACTAACCAGGGCGGGGGCAGGGACAAGGGAGCCCCGAGGGTGCAGCACCAAGCAGATCCACAGCCTCTCCACAGCCCCAACGAGGAATTCCAGGCCTCACACAATAACTGGATGGTAAGTAGGGTAGGCCCCTCTCCTCCCCACAAGCCCTAACCCTCTGGAGAAGGGGGTGGGCCAGGGCAGCCTGGCATTGCCCCTGGAGGAGTGTTGACAACCACCTCCATGGGGCTACCAGAGTCCACGATCACTCTAGGCCCAGTCCACAGCAGGCTCCTGATAGCGACAATCCCATGTCACTCGAGGAAACCGAGACTCAAAAAGCTAGTAAGCAAGCTGCCCAAAGTCGCAGAGGCAACAGGCAGTGGAAGCAGGTCAAGAAAGAGCCAGGTCTGCCAGATGCCCAGGC